TTTTTTTTTTTCCTTTGACTGTCATACTGTAGTTTTGATCCGACGCGTTGTGCCAGGTGTTTTTCTGACTGCGAAGTGCCTGGACACTTGTTAGCACTTAGTGCCCCTCCCCTTCTTTTATTACTTTCACTCCTCTTTTTCTTTTTTTTTGTTTTCCACACACAAAGCAGCGCTTCTATTGATACCATATTGTTCTCATGTTTCTGTACGAATTAAAACAGAATTGGCTTTGTAGCAGTAGAGGTGTAGATAGTTATTTTTATGTCTGTGGTGCTCAGGTTGGTTCATTTCAGACGTTTTGTTGTGGTGGTGGGAGGAGGAGAGACAGGCGGTGCCAGCAGGTCACCAAATAAGTAAAATCAGCCGGTTAATGTTTTCCTGTCTTTTCCAGGGGCTTTCAGTCGTGATGAGTAAAATCTAAACTCTATTGGAATCATGATTAACTGACTATGAACTGAATACTTTTTTTTTATTAGCATTGTGAATTTACAAAGAGAAAATCCAAATTTAGTGTATTTTTTATTTGTATTAACTGCCATATATTTGACTCAAAGGAGAACTCCAAAATGTCATTCTCATATTCCATCCTTACCTATAAGCCCATATGAGTTTATATCCGCCGAATCGTGTTCTCAGTTACGTCTCTTTTTATTTTAACCATTGTTTATGAGATTTTTGATCCTTCAGTCCATTATACAGGGCTGGCTGTTGCAGTGCACCCACATAGCCCGCCTCAAACGGCCGCAAAGACGACGCCTGGAGGACGGTTTAACCCAGACTTAAATTAGTCAGTGCTAAACTAAAAGCAAGGTTAAAAGCTTGGACTTTGGTTCGTTTTCTCAACAGAAGTGAGGACTCGTTCACTTTGAGGCGACGTTTGGAGTGGCACAGATTTTTGCAGGGGTTTTGTTTCTATTTTGATATTTTTCTAAAGTGGCATGCTTTTTATAGACATTTTAAGGTAACGATTTCAAGCAATATGTTAGCGACACGAGTGAAACTGTACAGTAAATCTGAACCTTGCTAAATTACAACAAATGATTCATCTTCAGGCAGCTCTCCAACAATGGACACCAACGACTGGGGTTATGTGGGTAAGGATTTTTAATCTTGTTTATTTATGATGATGTAGGCTGTGTGTCAAAAAAATAAATTCGGTTGTCACCACATTTTCTTTTTGTCCACTTTCAGCTTTTTATCAATGTAAAGTCCTTGCTTATACAGTTTTTTTTGTGTGTGTGTCAAATACAGTCTTTGATAATATGGACTTTGCTGTCTGTTTCTTTGGATAAGTATGGTGAAATGTTCAATAGCCTTATAATGCTGAATAAATGCAGTAGTTTTCCCATTGTTTTTTTATTTTATTTTTATTGACTTGCCACGTTTTGTCTTTGATTTACCTATCGGCAAATAGAGTTAGACGTAGTAACCACGCTGAAAGATAATCCATATAGAGCCGGTCTACTTTAGGTGGAACACGACCAACAATCCTTATGCTGGCTCCAAAATGCCAAGAAAGTAAAATAGAAAATTTTAAGAAACTGTTAGAAACACAACGAAGGACTCAAAATGCACAAGCTATTTTAAAGACCCAATATTTAGTCTATGAAACCAGTTCAAGAAAAGTGTTTAGATGCCACAAAAGTAGTAAAACAACAAGATACCGGAAGTTAACTTCAACATTGTTTCATTACTGGTTGGTCCAAAAGTTAATAGCGCTTTTTACTGTTCAAGAAGGCTAAAGGGTAACGCTGTGCATCTAACATCTCGAATGTCTTACAATATGAGGGTGAAAAAGCAGTATGTATGTAAAAGTGAGTTTTTGTAGTGGGACATGTGGACCAGAGATGCTTCATCTTGTAGTGCTGAATCAGTCTTGTGGCTGTGAAATCCTCCACGGATGTCAGCTACCAATATTGGCTGAAGTTCAAAGCTCAAACGAGACATAATGTCTACAATAAGCTGACTTTGGTTACAAGTACGCTACATTAATCATTTGTCTACAAGCTCTCTTGTGATCCCTGGCTGTTAAGATTTTTTTCATATGCAAATAAAAATGTCTAAGTACACCTCCCTAAAATGATTAGAATCTTTTTATGTGAACCATCTGGCTTGTAAATGCTGATAAAATCGGACCTGTGTTACAAACACAAAACTGGAATTGTGGGTTTGTAAATGAATTTCCTGAAAGTTTGCGTCAGTGAACCGTCAGTCTGTGCCACTGTTTTACATTGTAACCACAAGATCCGATGTAAAGCTTACTTTCCCAACCAGAGGAATTATTCTTATTATATATTTTTTTTCTATTTTCCAAACCTGTGCATCCACTATTAAGGCTCAACATCGCACAAATAAACAAAAAAGGCAACAGGTCCTCAATCTCCCCCAGAGGAAGTGACTCACAGTTAAGTTATGGAGTGAACATGACAAGCATCCACAAGTCATCAGTCATCAATGGTTGAACTGCAGAGAAGGAGAAGTCGTTCACTATTGTCTGAGTTCACCTTGTGAAGGCTCTCTTTTAGGGGCAATGAGGACAATTTGCACCCATAGTAACTAAGACACATTATAATAAAATTGAAAGTAGGGAGTTAAAAGTTTTCACTATGTCCAAAACCTCTGCTGCAAAGCAAATATCTGAATGGGAGATAAAGTAAAGAAACATTGTTTCCGTGCGTCTGGATGTTTATCTCTGCTCTCTTCAACTCCTTCAAGCAGAGCAAGCGGTAACAGTAACCCCAAAAATCGTGAAAAAATAAATGTACAATAATGTTTTTGACTGACCAAGAGTTGCCAATCACTTGTGATAACTGTTGTGAATTGTTTACATTTTCGACCTTGTTTCTTTGAAGTGTTTTTGGAGGAAGGACTCTGTGCATGTCGGTCTGTGTAGCCGAGGCGACCCGCTGGAGACAGAGAGGCTTAGTGAAATAAATCCAGGAGGTCGACAGCAGACGGGTAGAGCGGCACGTCTGCAGCGGATCCTCTGGTTCTGGAGAAAAGGCGAGCAGCTTCAGCTAACATACACAGTATCTCAAGGCAAAAGGTAAAAAATTATTATTTTCATGCTAAAGTGACTTGAACAATCCAGTCAACAACTGTAGCCTGATATTATTTGCTGCTTTTTATTTATTTGAAAGCAGAAAAAGATGGACTCTTTGATCTAGAAAGGCAACTTAAGTCCATTTGGACAATATTTCATGATGTCCATTTGGACATCATGAGGTTTTCAGGTAGTATTCATGTGTAGTTTTACTTCGCATAATTCCTTATCTGCAAAATGTCTTAATAGGTCCAAAAGTAGTGAAGAATGTTCTAAAAAAAATGCATTAAATTCTTAAAACAGCAGTTCAACACAATTTTGCATTATGATTCAGAATTTCTTTGCTTTCTGCCTTTAGTTTTACATCATTTGTAAGAAGATGCCTGCAGTATGTTTATTTTTTTTTCCATGCATGGTCTTTCAAGTTAATATATGAATATACCTAGTTAGCATTTCAAATCACATTTCCTCCATCACCACTGTATGACTGACCTTACACGTTTATGAGACAAATGTCTGATATTGTTGTAAATGAAAGCATGCTTTTATTGTGAAGACACAGAACTGCTGTCCCTTCTTCCTGACCTTGGTGCTAAGCCATGTAAATACCTCCTCATGTTTATATGCTTGGAGTGCACAGCACTCTTCCTAGGTGATCCAGTGTCACTCAGTTATATTGAATGGACAAATTCACATTTTTTACAGTAAGCGGTCAGAAACATCTGTCTGCGTTTAAAGATTTAACCAGATATTTGTATATAAAAGCATAATTTTTCTCTCAGTCTGACATAAAATCAGACTAAACTCTTCCTGTTGGTAGAGGTGTTATTACTGCCTAAATTAGGTTTGTCTGTTGATAGTTTTTAATATCACTTCTCCGAGGTCAATAAGCTTACTAGTTTTAATTGCTATGATTCATATGGGTTTACTCCTTTGCCAACTGGAAAAATTATTGTAACGTCAAAAATTATTTCAAATTATTTCTGACATTAAAAATTGACAAAAACAAAACATGAAAAACTAATCATTTAAAATAATGATCTCAAAGCTGCTGTTAAACTGTTAGAAAACTGTTGCTTTCTGCCACAGTTTTTTCTTCCACTGAACCTTCCATTTTAAAGCTTGGATACATCATTCTGTGAACAAAAATGTTGTAACTAGACCACTTACAAGCATCAACATAACCATTCTGAATGAAAAATAATGTTTTTATTAGTTATCAAATGGTTTGAAAGTAAAATTAGTGTTTTTATTTTGTTGTCAGTCCTTTCAAAGCTGGACTCCTGTTTATTTTTTCAGTTTTTCCTTCCACTCAACTTACCATGAATATGCAAAAGTTTAAAATTCTTTGTTTTAAGCTGTAAGCTATAATTATTGAAATTGCATTAAGATGTGAAATGTGTCACTCTGTAGATTTGCATGTAGAATTTTGCATGTAGAATTTTTGCCATTTTTCAGATTTATGTGCATAAAAGTTGCATTATTGAACTAAACTATGAATTCCTGAATAAAGCTGGCAGTGGGAAGTGTCAGCTACCTCTTTACCCCTTTGTGAGGTGGAATAAATTGTATGCGGCTAGTGGGTCAAAGTTCACCCATTAGCCATGAAACACAAAACTGTTAAATCCTACACTGCGCTGAACTGCAAGGGCCGCCTGACACCTGGTGGCTTTAATTCAGATTCTCATTTTCATACTATGTGTTAGACAATCAAAACTAAAACTATGTATATCTTTAAGAGCCAATGATGCAGGTAAATGTATTCCATAAATAAATGTTCTTAATGTACAAATTTCATTTAAAGCAAACAGGAAGAAGTTTCACTTCATGAGAGTATCACTCGAGGGAAGGTTGAGGTTCTTGGGTAGTGCAGGTGCAGCAGATGGAAGCAGTGTTAAGGGATTACAGTAACTCCTTTAGCAGTGTGCAGTCAGTGAGATTATAGTGTCCCGTCCTCCATGAGGGGAGGATGGCTCAGGGAGAGGAGGAGAGAGGAGATCTGTGCAGCTCGCAGCTCCTCCATCCGGTCCTGAGTCACATGTCCTCATCGCTGCTACCGCTGCTGCTACTGCTACTGCAGTCCAGATTTCCTGGACTGCACAGCCACCACTGTGGGAAGTGTCGTTGATGCAGCTCTAAGGGAAGTACACCTTAGGTATCCCCACCAGTCTGCCATGCTGATTACATGGTGGTATTTATACCTAGCAGCTCGGAGCGTCGCCGAACAAAGCAAGTATTGCTGCTCTTTCTGTGTCTGACTGTGTGTCGTTTCAAGGTGAACTCTGCTGACAAATCATGTGTGGGCCAGAGCTCAGGAAGTGTGGTTTCTAGTGGCGGATTAGGGGATTTGGATAAACAAAAAGAAAGGGGGAAATGATGCCGTGATAACTGCCACGTTTAATTCTTGATCCTGCTGCACTTTGACAGGCCGCAGTATTTATGAAGTGTAGACATGCGGGGCAGCTCGCAGAGCACGTTGCGTCTCTTCGAACGTTTGGCTATTGTTTGACCGTAAAATGTTTCATTAACACGTTTCAGCACTGAGGATGGCTTCAGTCCTGCAAAAGCTGATCACCCCACTGTTCACCGGTACTCCCGAGCCCCCCAGGAACAAAGTGACAGTCGTGGGTGTGGGTCAGGTCGGCATGGCCTGTGCTGTCAGTATCCTGCTGAGGGTAAGATTCCCACTGTTTCTGCCTTTCGCACAACATTCCTTCCCCACCTGCTTCGGCCAGGATAATTCCCTGGATTCTCCTGGATTGACAACAGATTACTGATCTCTTGGCCTCTGATCTTGATCTTATCCCCTCTGTTTCCAATTGTCATGAAAGGAGGTGGCTCACACGCACTTTCTACTCACACGCACTTTCTACCATGTCAGACTGTTTTTGCAATGTCTAAAATAGGACAGTTACATCCTATATATAGCGGGTAGAGCAATAACTGTGACCCCGAAATGAAATGTTTCAATATAATTGATTTCTCATGATAGTTTTGGAAGCTGAGTCTGAGGAAGCTTTGTCTAAAGCATCTAGATTCAAGGAAGTAGTTGAGTATTATATTTCTATTATCAAAAAATGCAGTGGTTTACCAAAGGATTCAAGCATGATTGAATCAAGCTTAATAAATCTCTCTCTGTCGCTCCACTTCCTTTCTCACTTTATTTCTAGCCTCTGACGGATTTTCTTCCAGAATTGCCCTCTATGTAGCTGCTCCTATCATCCCCTCAGTTTTGGTTATAATTTGGAGAAAAAGCATCTCCTCAGCATGACAGTTACACCACCATGCTTCACAGTGAACATGGTACATTCTGTGTTGTACCAGTTATAGCATAAAATAATGTAATTTTTCATCCAGGTTTTCTTTGGTTTTCTTTAAATACTAGCTTTCTTTATGTTACTCTTAAGTGGAGACTTAGAGTTTTGTTGGCTGTACTGAGTGTTTTAATTTGAGCTTTCAGAATAATGAGGGTCAAATACAAGTGCACAATACACTTCTGTTCCTGTTCCAAGTTATGCACTATTTTCTGTTTTTCTATCATAAAATCCAAATAAAACACGATGAACTTTGTGGCTGGAATGTGACAAAACCTGCGAGGGATACAGCATGAACAGTTGCATGTTGCTATCTATTCATGCTACAGGAGAACACTAAGTGTTGGAGCTTTGAAATAAATTGCTTGAACGCGGTGTGTCGCAGGAGCTGGCTGATGAGCTGGCCCTGGTGGATGTGGTGGAGGACAAGCTGAAGGGAGAGATGATGGACCTGCAGCACGGCAGCCTTTTCCTCAAGACCCCCAAAATAGTCGCAGACAAAGGTAAAGCTATTTTTCAAAACAGTTAGAAGATGTTCAACTTGCTGCTGCTGCTGATGTTGATGATGGTGACGGTTATTCTTAGCAATGAATTATTTCACATTAGTTGTGGGCACATACAAGTCAGCCTCCTACCTCTTGCACAAACTCTCCCCACCTTCACTTCAGTATTAAACTCGGTTTTAAACTGGGAAAAGGAGATCCTCAGGGATGTGTGCTCAGTCCTTTGCTCTTCACTCTGTTGACAGCAACATTTAGCCCAAAGCAGCTCATTAGGTTTGTTGATCATTTCCACAAGACTCATTAAGACAATTAAACATTTGAACAGTGGAGAGAGAGAGGTGAAGCAGTTACTGAACAGACGTGAGAAGTCACTGTTTGTTTTGTAACGTCAACAAGACTGCACTTCAGAGAAATTGCCACCTATTGTTTGTCTAAATGTAGACTGGCATCAAACTGCAAAGTTTTGTTTTTTTTTTCATCACAACTTATTGACTGCCCTTTTTTCTTTTCAGATTACTCAGTTACAGCAAACTCTCGCATCGTTGTCGTCACAGCCGGAGTCCGTCAGCAGGAGGGGGAGAGTAGGCTGAACCTCGTACAGAGAAACGTCAACATATTCAAGCACATCATCCCTCAGATTGTACGATACAGCCCCGACTGCATCATCATTGTTGTTTCCAACCCGGGCATGTCCAACCCTTCCTTTATATGAAACACTGCTTTTCCTCTTCCACATAAAGATTGCAATATTTATTTTAAATACCGCTGAAATGGTTTTAACAGTCGACGTTCTGACCTACGTGACCTGGAAACTGAGCGGCCTTCCGAAGCACCGCGTCATCGGCAGCGGCACCAACTTGGACTCGGCCCGCTTCCGCTTCCTGATGGCGGACAAGCTTGGTATCCACTCCAGTAGCTTCAACGGGTGGATCCTGGGAGAACACGGAGACACCAGTGGTGAGGAATTGGTTTGCTTTCACTTAGATACTGTACGTGTTGGCACTTTGAACTCGCTGCCTCGTAACCACCTCACAATGTGCATGATAGTGCCTGTATGGAGCGGGACGAATGTGGCCGGAGTCAACCTGCAGACACTGAACCCCAACATCGGCACAGACTTTGATGAAGAGAACTGGAAAGAAACTCATAAGATGGTGGTGGATAGGTAAGCGTCAGGTCAAATTGGGGAGTCTCTACCTTTTTTCTAGAGGCCCTTTGTTATGGTCGCTCCATCTGTCATTTGGTTTTACATTAAGATATTCTTAAGAGTAACATATTGTTCTGATGATTCACACAGGAGGGGGATAAATACAAATGTGTAGAGATTTTAGTCCATTACCTTATTTAGTTGTCGAAATGTGGCTGTTTTCTTTCTCAGTCTTACATAAAGACACATCTGAATCGCCAGAGTGCCATGTTCTCCCATCTTTCCAGTTTTTAAGAATACGCCTGTATTCCCCTGAAAAACAGAAAGTGTTATAATTTATTAAAGGATTGTAGACACAATCATGGCAGCAGTCATTTTGAGAGCATTAATATTTGTGTCATTGTTGCTTTTTAGCTGTTTAATCTTTGGGGCAACACCCAGAACCCAGAAATTGCCGCTTATGGAACCATTTTCTCTGTTTCACACTAAAAATGTGCTTTACATGGAGTTTGTTTTATAATTGGACATTCACTTTAGCTAAATTTAAAGTCTCAGCAGATTTAGGTCCAGCCATTATTTAGTGAAATCTTTAATTGCGTGTAAAGTTGTGTATTTCTGTGTCTTTAAGCGCGTATGAGGTGATCAAGCTGAAGGGTTACACCAACTGGGCCATCGGTCTGAGTGTGGCCGACTTGACCGAGAGCCTCATGAGGAACATGAACAGAATCCATCCGGTCTCCACCATGGTGCAGGTAAAGGATATATGCAGTCATTCTATCTATCTATCTATCTATCTATCTATCTATCTATCTATCTATCTATCTATCTATCTATCTATCTATCTATCTATCTATCTATCTATCTATCTATCTATCTATCTATCTATCTATCTATCTATCTATCTATCTATCTATCTATCTATCTATCTATCTATTTATCTATCTATCTATCTATCTATCTATCTATCTATCTATCTATCTATCTATCTATCTATCTATCTATCTATCTATCTATCTATCTATCTGTCTATCTGTCTATCTGTCTATCTGTCTTGTCTGTTTATTAATCCACCTATTAATCTAATCTATTTAGCTACCTAGTATTCTTATTTTGTGGTTGTAAAGTAAAACTTTTCTTTCATGTTCAAGTGATGTGAAAGCACCATATTAATCTGAATGTTTTTATTTTTTTGTTTTTGATTGATTGATTTTTCTAATTCTGAACATCACTGCAAGTGGATGGAGTCAGGAGTCCTTGCGACTTGGTTTTTGGCTTTAAAGTTTCTGCCTTCGCAGGGCATGTACGGGATCAGCGACGAGGTGTACCTGAGTCTGCCCTGCGTGCTGAACAGCGGCGGTGTGGCCAGTGTGGTCAACATGACCCTGACAGATGAAGAGGTGGCCCAGCTGCAGGCCAGCGCCAACACGCTGTGGGACATCCAGAGGGACCTGCGGGACATCTAACCCACCACGAGGGGGCGATGCAGAGACATCTCCTCGGTTGCTCTTCACTCTGCAGTCACTGAAAACCATTCAGTTCCACTCGCTGCGCCTCACTCACTGCTTTCCTGTAGATCCGTATCATATTTAGCCATAGGTGTCATTTTGAGCATTGTTAAATGTTCGTGCGGAGATCGAAGGTGGTAAAAACGCAGGGAAATGTTTTGACACACAAAGTGTTGCTTTGATACAAAATAAAGGTTTACTGGGGCGTGGCTTCACTTATTCACTGGCACACATTAAATATACTCTGTTATGGTCATAGTGCTGCAGAAACACATCACTGTGTCTTAATGTGAGCTAAAAGCATCATGTCTGACCCCCACATGGCACCTTCAGTGATGACAGGGTGGTGATGTTCGACTGCAAGCTGGTCTCAGCGTCCTAACAGCTGACGGCTTTAACTGACAGGATAGGAATGAAGGAAGGAAACAAAAAAGGAAGGAAGGACATGACATGAAAAGAATAAAGTTTGAAAAGCTAAATTTGTTTCAAATGTTCCTTTCCCAACTTAACCATAGCAAGAGCATCCTGAAAACTATTTCTAAACCTTTACAATAGGAACCCATTTGCTTAAAAAGCACAATGAAAGAGGAAACGAACTAAATGTTCTGCCAGCAAAACACATCACAGCACATGAGAATTTAGTCAGTCATAACCAGTTTACATTTTTAGAAGAATGAAGTTTATTTAAGAGTTCCTTGCTGCAGATTATCCAGTCATACCAACAACGACATTTTAGAGTTCAAATATCCAACAGCAGGTACGACGACCGGATCGGGCGAAAAGCAATCAGGGATGTTTCCAGCTCGAGTCTCGGTAAACATGTCCGCCCCCACCTGAAGAAGGACGAAGAGATTTTAACCTCTACGCAGGTCATAGGGCATGTAAATGAAGCGCAGGTTCACCTTCTTCTGCGGCTTGTTGCAGGAGCTCGATGGAAGCTGAAGACAATCCCAGCCCATCGTTGATCTGACTGAAGTTCACTTAAGAGGAACAAAACAGAAACGTTTGGAAAATTTGAAAAATCTTGAGCACAATAAATCGATGTTTTTCGATGCCCCTCTGGCCTTGGACGCATAATTTTTTTTTTTTTATGCACGAGTTTAGAAGTTTTGAAACATATTGATGAATCAAAACATTTATTAATGTATTTGTATTAGTATGTGAACTTGGTATGACCTTTGAGTCATACCAAGATCACATATTTCAATCAAGATTTTCAGTAATTTAACATTTCAAAGAGGTTAAAGGAGCCTGTTCTAACACACATCGAGTGCATTTGCAGCACTTGGAAATATGAATTTAAAGATCTCATTTTTTTATGATTATAAATTTAGCTTGGTTTCCAAACTAAATTTCAAGTAACGCGCCATACACACTGCCCTCCTGAAATACTTGCTTTTGGTGTCAGCGTAGAAATTGCAAGATTAACGGCGTAAAGAAAAAGATGAATGAATAAATAAATGTGAGACACACCTAATTGTGAAGCTTCCCCTTCGTCTCTGCTGCTGCGCTCCAGGGTTGAGCGGTGTCCCTCTGCAACGTGTCAACATTTTTTCCTCAGCCACAAAACAGCTTCAAACCGGCAACATTTCTCTCTCTCTTTTTTTTTTTTTTTTTTTTTCTGCTATAAATGTTTGCCTTACGTGCGCCTTTAAGATACAATATTGCCTGAGGAGTCCAGTTTCTCCTCTGGAAGAAAAAAAAAATCAAATAATTCAAAGATTTGATTTGATTTGATTTGCAATATTATGTCTAGACATAAAAATACCTCTATCAAAAATCAGCCTGTACTTACATAAGGAGAGGAGCAGCACTGAGAAACCAACGACATCACAAGGAAAGTGACCTTTAGAGACATTTTTGAAGCCTGCAAAGGAAAATAACTTATTGACCAGCAAACTGTCAGCTCCGCATCTGCAAATTGTTCCTCATATTTCTAATGCTGTACATGGTGTCTCTTACTTATGTGGTAACATGTGCACTGCGTACATCCTGTTACCAATTACCCCCAATGTTTTGCCAGAATTATGTAATTGACATAGCAGACTCTTAAGTGGAGTATCACGTTTCCTAACACTCAGTTAGCAAAGACACATAAATGGTCAATCTGAAAGTTATAAATCTTGTCATAAGATGGCATTAAATGGAAGCAAAGTTAAACCACTGGTAGATAGATGGCAGCATGAACACTGCTGCTTAAAATCTGACTTTGGAATTTCAGACATGTGAATAAATATTTAAAACATTTTGAAAGACGAGCATCCGACTCCATGCAATAAATTTGAATTCCATCCAAATGTACACCCTATGATATCACCAATGATAGCCATTTGTTGCAATAACAATAATAAGGCATTCTTACTGTTCTTGAGTTTTTTGTTCTGCAGGCTGTAGCTTGTGTAAGCGTTTGAATCGACGTTTCCTTCTGCCTTTCAAGACGCATATTAAGTAAACCAGCTCGTTATGTGACATCAGCGATGAGGCTGACAGGTAATTTAACGACGTCACACCTAACACTCCGGCTGGGATGGAGTGGAAGGTGCTGCTGAGGCTGTCTCTTCTTGTTACTAACATGCGCTGGGGAGAAGTTTGAACTTTGAGGCCTCCAATCAACAGAGGATCTGGTCGCACGACACGGAGTTTGACTTATGAATGAGCCGCATGAGATGACGGCGTGATCTCAGCATAGAGGGGGTGAAAGACCCCACCACCAGGAGGCCTGAAGCTGTAAATCAGTGTGAGCTTAATTTCATTAGAGCTGCACATTCAGGTTCAGAGACATGTCTTTGTACTTTTGCAGAAGATTTATTGTGTTCCCACAGGAGACTCCCCAACACTCAACATCAGAGTTCATATTTTAATACAGCCGGCTGGTCGCCCCAGAAATCAACTGCTATGTATTGAAAGATCCGTTCTGTAACATTCAGAAAGGATTGTTGAGTTCATATTGAGTTCATGTTGAGTTCATACTGGGACTACTGGGAGTAGTCCCAGCTGCTCAAGTGCACTGATGTTCGTTTTTATCAGAGACTTAAAGTGAAATCAGCGGAAAAAATGTCAACAGTCAATCAGTCCAAAGTCACACATTTGATCTGGGAATGAAAGAATAAATGTGTTTTATTCTTTTCTTTTTGCATACTTTTAAATATGTCAATCTGAAACATTAGTGTATTAATACAGCTTCTGTAATAAAATAAAAAATAATTTACTGTTAGAATTATTTTCACTCTGCTGTCAGTAGCAAAGTTGACATACTGTAATTATTTTTTTTTTCTGGAAAAAAGTAAGTAAAACATGTAGTTTAAAGTTTGACAATGACAATGGCACTCACTTATAAATAATACATACAAAAATAAAAACAAGATTTTTGTTTCTTGTCTTGAAACGTTAAATGTACATTAAATTATGGGAACATGTAAATATGTTCTTTAATAAAACGCCATCCAGAGGTGAACAGTAACATTTCCAAGGTGGAGTTTGTTCCATTCAATTTTGCCTCCTTGCCGAGAAAGTAAGATTTTATTTCTGACGTCCGAAACTTTTAAAAAGTTGTTTAACCGACCGAATAACTCAAACATTGTTTAATTCCATTATCCAATAAAAGCTATACAATTTTTTTTATTGCATCAGGGAATTTTCACAACTGTTAACATGAAAAATCTACTTGTGACAAATTATTAAATTCGCTCAAAGAAGTGGGTGCAGCTTCTTTTAATTGGCACCTTAAATATTTACTTCTGTGCACTGACCTTGTTTACAGTAATGTATTGGTGACTGCAGTTGTGTGGTGATTCACTTAACTGCAAATACTGAAGGATTTTACACTGGAGTTGAATCACATAAAAGCCAGTACAGCAGATATCTAAATGTTGACTGTGTTGCAGTTCTTTTGTTTTACGTTGTGTTAATACCATGATATTATAAAACTAAGATATTTCAGTTTGTCACATGGTCAAAACCTCAACCTGAACAGTGCTTAATGTACTTCAATTTAAAAAAAAATTAAAATACAGGGAAATTTCAGGGAACATAAAACTCATCTGTCATTTAGGAAAAAAAACAAACAAAAAAAAAAACATACACATTTTAAAAAAGGACTATTTATTCCAGGTATACATTTAGAAAAATTACTGTAAAAATTACAGTACAAACATCTCAAAACATCTTTTTACAGAAACGCACTTTTCTGTAACAATTACAACCATCTTTTTCATTCACAATCCATTATCAATAATCCATTTACATGTCATATAGGATTGCTTCCAGGCACTGACTTTCCTCTGAGATAGTCCAGTGTTGCCAAGTGTTTAGTCCATAAATATTCCAAGAAATGGTACAAAGAGTTAGAAAAAAAAGAAAAAAAAGACAACAAAGGCAAACATTTGCGCTGTTGTTCAGTCTCAGTCGGATAGTCCTGGTGTCCAGACGAGGGGAACGGAGGCTGTCAGAGGAATGTTTACAGACACATTTGTGTGTTTTCTGCACAAAAACGTGTGAATGAACTTTTCTGGAGCGGCGAGGACTGGAACGTAGAGTCACGATGAAAATCCATGATAAATAGTGGAAAAAGTCCCCCGCTGCGTCAACAGCACAATGTTATACCATAGCGTTGCTCTCGCCGATTTTGTCCACCAACTGAAAGACAACAAGCAATAAAATGACAGCTGAAAATCTCCACCAGCCTCGAGTCGTACCAGTTTCTCCCATGTGACACTTACCGGCCTAATTCCTGGTAAACTGAGCAAAGAGCCGAGGACAGGCACTCGCCTGATGAATCCGACCGCCACCGGGAAGAATCCCCTGCAAACGCGAAGCACGGGCAACGTTGAGCCGCGGAAAGGTTGTGTGCGAGCGCGAGGCGTTTTATCGCCCTCTGACCTGACCTGAACAAGAGGAAGAAACCGTAGATTTCCAGGACGACGCCGATGATCGGCCAGCCGGTCAGGACCACAAAAATGCCTCCCAGGAAGAAGCTGGTGGCTTTCGCTTTGTGTCTCTGGAAGAAGAACCTGAAGGTGCGCTCGAGGCCGATGACAAACGAAAGGCCTGCCACGAAGAGAATCTGCATGCAGATGCGAAACATTAGAAGGTTTAGAGGTACCGTACAGTGGTGCGTTTCTTTTTTTCTTATAAAAAAGAAAAAAAAAAAGGAGGAAGACGCTGTCCGTTTCCTCATATCGTGCTGAAAACATGCTCACTCAGACATTTGTTGTTGAAAACATTTTTTTTTCATGCTGTAGTCAATTTGCCAGAAGGAAATGCTAAATAAATTGGCAATCTAAAGCAAATTTGATTGATTTCACAGAAAATTCTGCAAAGCAGCAACTCAAATGCTCCAAAATGCTTCTGCCTATGCAACTAGTCTGCTGCAAGATGTAGCCTCCTACTGAGAGCTTTACTCCTGTGATGTCACTGACCAAAGCAACCAAACAGCATGAAAACTTTGAATATTGTGCAGTGGGTCTGGAAGTGTGTTTGAAGAACTCACATTTCCTATCGCCAACAGAGCTTTATCAAAAAACAGCATCATCCCAAAGAAGAGGAAAAACACGCCAAAGCCCGTCAGCCCCATCCCAATTTCTGCGGAGTTTAGGGAACAAGAGACTTGATCAGGATCAATCACTGCTGTTCACATGTGGGCAATAAAAGGAAGAGTGCGCCATGAAAACAGTTAGAATATAAGCATAAAGGAGGGCGTGGGTTTGATGAAGTAGCTGCTGATTTAAATGTTTGCACTTTCCCACATAATACAGTAAATTGTAAATGTCTAAATAAGAAATAAACCCTCCACAGTGACGTAATGATGCTCTCAACCAATCGTTTTTTTCGCTCTTAGCCTCGTACATTTGGCTAAACCCGGACAGTTACCGACAAAGAACGGCAAAGAAACACAACTCTTACTTTGTGAATCCGTGAGTGAAATCATTTTGAAAGCTTCCGGAGATTTAACCAAACCAAACGACGACCGCTGCTCCTAAAATCTGTCACTGTTAAAGACCAGAAGCTAATTCAATTGTCGCTACGACGGCTGCAGTGCCACAAACACGGGCAAAGCCAGCGGTATGTTACGCCACCACGTCAAATGGAGCCACGTACGCACTGACGCAATGTAACAGAGATCGTCTATATTGACATCACACACAAACATCAGACTCTTGAGCTTCTTTTGGGATTATAAGAGAACTTTTAATCAATTTGTAATTCTTGACAGATCTTCAAGTAAATAAAAAACGACAATAAACGAGAAATGTTCCTAATGAAAGATGAAAGAATATGTTGTTAGAATAGAATAGAATTATACTTTATTGTCCCACAGTGAGGAAATTCAGGTGCAGCAGGTTCACACAAAGATTTGCTTATTTAACTTGAATATGTATAAATTATAAATCGGTAAATTTTGAATATTTTTATTTTAATGTATAATATCAGAACTGATATACTGAAAAGGAAAACATTTCTACATAACAAATGAAACAGTCACATTTTAAAAAGAAAGCGTGTTCTCGAACACAGAAATTCAAGCAGAGTGATAGCTCTTTATATTTCAACTCATGCTGAGTTCAGTACGTTGTGGCGCCGCCCAGCTGCCACGCGGAAATGGGCGAAAATGGGTGTCCATTTCCGCCTTTTAAAATAAACGACAACTCCCATGAGTCTCCCGAACCGGAAGAGCGAAATGTCACATTTCGACGTGTTCAAATAGCACCGGAGTTTGCGGAGAAAGAAGACCTCCTCTGAAACACAACCAGCGGCTGATGTCAAAGCATGCTCCTCTCGCTTATTCGCACCAATAAGTGAGCCGTATTATTTATTTTTTCGTGCTTTTTTTTTTTTTTTTTTTTTTTTTTTTTTTTGCCATCATGGGGACCGCGTTAGCTGTGGTCCTTGTTTTTGTCGGCTGCTGCAGCAATGTGGTGTCTCTGGAGCTGCTGGTCAGGTCAGTCACAAACTTTCAGCCGAGAGCCTTTAAAGTTCAGGTTGACGAGCGGAAAACATTTCCGGCTGGAGTTCAGCGGAAGCGGGGATGTTCATTGTGTCACATCAGCAGACGACAGGGATTTATTTCCTTTGGGACTCCTCAGCAAAGTAGAAACGCGGTTGTAAGTGAATGTGTAGTTTCTATGTGTGCAGAAGTAGATAGTATTATACGACAAAAAAAAAAAAAAAAGAAAGAAACGTTTATTAGAATCAGACAAGAGAGAAGAGCAATAGTAAAACCTAACCTGAGCAGTAAATATCCATGAGTCGTTCATTTAGATCCAGACTTTGACTGGGCCGTTTTAACACAGGAGTGTGGTTTGATGCAGACCACTGCAGCTCTGCTTCTGTGTTTGCATCTGTTTTCTTCCAGCATCCTGTCCTCATTGTTGCTTTTTTATTCCTCTCTCTACCCATCTATTTTATGTATTTAGTTAACTATACGAATCAAATGTGAACTGGTTCTCATTTAGAACAAATGGCAAGAAAATTTGGTTTGTCTCAATGATGCTGTTTGCTCATCAGCAACACCTGAAGCCTTCAGAGAATTCATACTGAGATTTTATCACATATTTACTATTTACCAATTCAGGGTTTTTTGTTTGTTTTGGGGTTTTTGGGCCAATTGCTTCGATTAACAATACGGGATTTCACAGATTAAAATTTGATATAATACAAATCAAACTTTTGCAGATTTTTACTAGCAAAATCAATCTTGAAAACTTTTTCTGCTCATTCGTTTTCACAATTTTTCCCCACTTTACGTAGGTAGATCACAAAGGAATCTAATCACAATACATTGAAATTTATGGCTGTGACTATTCTAAATGTGGAAAGGTTGGAGGGGCTTCAATACTTTTGCGTGACACTGTATCCATAAACCTGCTCTTCTCTTACTCAAAATTCCTTTTTTTCTTTTATTCAGATGTTTTTTTGCCTCCGTTTAAAGCGGCGTTTCTGTTTTTCAGAGAGTTTCCAGGATGTGGCAACATAGTCACCTTTGCTCAGTTCCTCTTTATTGCCTTAGAAGGTTTCATTTTTGAAACTAAATTTGGGAGAAAAAAACCAGCTATTCCTATCAGGTAATAAACAGTTTATTAAACTTAAACGAGAGGCTGCAGGTACAACCAATTGCTGATACTGAAAGAAATTCTTTTTTTTTTTCAGTAACTATTTTATTATGGTGACTATGTTCTTCACTGTCAGTGTGATCAACAACTATGCTCTTAACTTTAACATCGCCATGCCATTACACATGATCTTCAGATCAGTAAGTGTCGCATTTTGTCATCTTTTAAGCTCCTCCTGTTCTCCTCCGTTGCTTTTGTTTAAGCTTCTCCTCTTTTCCACCCAGGGATCGCTAATAGCCAACATGATCCTGGGAATAATCATCCTGAAGAAGAGGTGATTCTTCCTCCGCTTTTCCTTCTGCTTTGTTCAATGTCTTCCCGCGGATTCAGTGCCTCTCACCTTCTCTACCTGCAGGTACTCAGCCAGCAAATACCTCTCTATTGTTCTAGTTTCCACCGGTATCTTCATATGCACCATCATGTCAGCCAAACAAGTGGTGAGTCCTCTGCAGACATCTTGTCTTTTCCAGTTCAACCACTGTCACGCCCCAGTAATACTCCAGAGCATCTACTGGTTTGTTTCAGCATGAGGTGTCCGGTGATGGATCGGAGGAGCAAGGGATTTATGCCTTTATGCACTGGCTTATTGGTGAGTGTTGGTTAAAAAAAGAGCAAGAAATACAGGAGAAAAATCTCTCAATTCTGTGGCAAAAAGTATTTGGGCCTTTACTGATTTCTCCGTTGTTTTATAATGATTTAATTGAGGATAACTGTGATATTTGGATAGTTAAGTTCAGTTTGACGAAACAAAAAAAAGAAAACAATCTCTCACACACAACCTGTGTATATGCAGGCTGCAGTTCGTTCATAAGCTAAAAGGGTTAAGCAGCAGGACATTATTAGCTTGCCTTTCCGTAGCTACCTTAACCCGCGTGGCTTTATCTTCAATCAGGCATCGCCATGTTGACCTTTGCCCTGCTGATGTCTGCGAGGATGGGCATTTTCCAGGAGACGCTCTACAAGCAGTACGGGAAGCACTCCAAGGAGGCGCTCTTCTATAACGTAAGACTCAAGACAGCCATAGAATGAAGGGAAAACGCCAGAGTTGGTTCATTTCGATTTAACGTCTCCTCGTGTCTTCAGCACTGCCTGCCTCTGCCCGGTTTCCTGCTTCTGGCCTCCAACATCTACAACCACTGCATCCTCTTTAATCAGAGCAGTGAGTTTGAACAGATTAATAATTCAATTCACAGAAGGGAAATTGACGTGCGAAGCTACAGTTATTCAGGAACACACACGTCTGCGTATGGGGTGAACTGATTCTTTTTACTGTTATTGTTTTGTTGCAGCTCCCGTTCTTGTTCCTGTGGTCGGCCTGACCATGCCGACAATGTGGCTCTACCTGCTGATCAATGTCGTCACACAGTATCCTGTTGTTTTTCAGTTTTTCTTCCCTACACCTACAATTTTTTTCCAGTAAAGAAACTAAAGTTAGAGTAATGTCGGAAATTTTCCTTTATTTTAGATTTGGTTTTGAGCTAATGCACACTAGAGTTAGTTTTCAGGTGCAGAGATTTTTTGTCCCGTTTTGCTTTTCTCCTCTTCATCAAACAACAGAACTGCATCATCTGCTGATTAGCCTGTTTTAATGACCGCTTTTTCAGTCTTGTTGCAGACCTTAACCCTGTTTCCAGGTATGTGTGCATCCGTGGCGTCTTTATCCTGACCACAGAGTGCACTTCGCTGACCGTCACCCTGGTGGTGACCCTCAGAAAGTTCATCAGCCTCATCTTCTCCATCCTTTACTTCCAAAACCCCTTCACCGCCTGGCACTGGGTGGGCACAGCTGTGGTTTTCATTGGCACCCTGCTGTACACGGAGGTTTGGAGCAGCGTGCAGGCGGCTCTGTGGGGGGCTGGAGTCAAGGAGAAGAAGGCAGAGTGACGAAGGAGAGACTGTCGGCAGATTGTAAAGGAGAAGAAAGAAAGAAAAAAAATCTGCCCTCTTGGGCAAATTTGAAATGTTTTTAAATCTCCTGTGGTAGTTTTATACAAATACGGTCATTTTGTTGTCGTACTTGATCCTACATGTTTTACCGACTGCAGTTTAAGGGAGGTGCTGATGATGATCTGCTTTTCAGTGATTAAATGTCATGAAAAGACCAAAAATGGTGGACGCCAAATCTTTTGCAACCCCATCAGCGTCCACTGATGGGGTTGCAGACGTCATGAATCGTCAATTGCTTTTATGACGCTTCCTTAGCCACATTTTGCCACCTGAGCTGCTCTGTTGGAATGAGATCTGGAGACTGGAAACCGCTGAAGTACACCAAACTCAATTTCATGTTTGTAAGAAGCCAGTGTGGGATGATCTGCGCTTTGTGACGTGGTGCATCGTCCTGTTTGAAGCAGCCATCAGAAGAGAGGTACACTCTGGTCATAAAGGGACAGATGTGATCACCAGCCATAATCACGTTGGCTGTTTTAAACAATGCTCAGTTTGCAGTCAGAGGTTCATGACACCACCGTCATCAGTCTGAGCGGTTGTGCTGGTTGGATGCGTATTGTCACGATACTGATGCAGGATTCTGACCCCACTGTCTGAATGTCGCAGCTGGCTTTGGTCGCTTTTGTTCGCTCTGCGCTAATTTTAGCCTCGGTTTCTTGTTGTTAGTTGGCAGAAGCGGCGCACGGTGTGGTCCTCTGCTGCTGTAGCCCATCTGTTTAAAGTTTTATATGCTGTAGCACTGATAGCTGAGTTTACTGGACGCACTTATGCATAACCAGCGTCTCCTTTCACAGTAACAAGACCACCAAAGTTTTGACTTTCTTCCCTATGCTCATGCTCATTTTGAACTTCAGTGCCATCATTCGTGCCAGCAAGCTGTTGCACTCAAAAGCACAGAGGTTTTGTCGACATAGCTAGAGAGCTTGGGAAGAAGCGATGGTTATTTAGTTCATTCAGATCCGGATCTGACCTCTTCAGCTCGCCATCACCGCTCAGAACATGCAGGTTGTAAGCTACTTACAACCTTTGAATGGCCTAGTTAAAGTCTCTAATGCAGCTCCAGTAGACAAGGGAGACCAACGAATGGTTTTTAAACTGCATAACAGTTTAGCCTTGCACTTTCAAGTTTTGCTCCTTCTGTTCCAGAAACCTTCATGTTAGTAGCACTCCTCAGTACACTGCATTCTTGCCCTATAAGTGTTTAGACATGACTTTTTTTTTTTATGTAGCAGATTATTGCGATTTGACATCCTCCTACAGAGGATGTCCTGCATACACTAGGATGCGTTTCGTCTGCCCAAGCGAGAAGCCAATGTTGAGCTCACGAACACATTGGCTCCGACGAAACATGAATCCAACATTTTGGTCTTTTCATAATGTTTTTGTTTTTTTTTTTTTTTGCCAAAAAACACAACTGTCACCAAATCTACCTTTTTGTTTTAGCATTTGTACCTCAGTAGCATCCATTGACCGGCGGTGCAATTTCTTTGTCTTGTCTGTAATGATGCTGTTTAGAGTTTTTTGTTATTGTTTTGTTTTTGAAAGTGTGAGGTTAACCTGACAACCCTTGCATAATGAATCATGAGGATGCAGGTTGTGGGTATGGCTCCTTGCTCTTTAGACCATGTTGTCTCGGGTGTGTTGGTCCAGAGTCAACATCCTCTACACTCCACATTAAACTGATTTGAATAAATCGCCGGCTCTTGTGGCTTTATTAAATTAAATATGCAACATGAGGGGTTTTTTTCACCCCCTTCTCTCCTCCAGTGCTGGAACAGGCAGTTCTCTCACGCCTCGCTGATTTCTTTAAAAGCCCTCGGACCAATCCACGCAGCTGTAGGTTCAGCTCCATCCAATGGCGGCGCAGGTTGTTCCCGACGAAGAGGTGGGAGAGGCCCGACTTGGAGCAGCTGCGTGAAGATTTGATGCGCTTCTCTGGATTCGTTCGTGTTGGTGACTGAACCGCGATCCAGCAGAACCGGATGGGGGGAAACGCTGCGAGCCGCTTCCCCGCGGAGGATGAAGGAGGGGTAGCTTTTGTGAAGGGCATCCGGGTGAGTGGAAACCAGTGCGGCTCAGCGCACGCTGTTGCTGGAATGACGCGTCCAGGTCGGAGGGGGACCGTGCGTCAGAGCTGAGTTTTTTTTTTTTTTAACTTTGGAGCGACGTTCACGGTCGGTGACCTGGTGGTGTCATTTGAACACGACAGAACCTGAGCTCACTGAGTTTGTTGTCGCTGTGTTTCCTCCTGCAAGCCCCTGTGATAAATTTAGACGGAGCACAGCTGGCTGTCACTCGCATTCAGGGCAGAAATAAGACGCGCGACGCGTTTCTTTTGTAACTTCACTGTTTGGTTTGTTTGTTTTTGTTTTTAAAGTAGCCTACTCCTCTTACATGACATTTTGTCACCTTTATGCTGGTGTTTCAGCATGTGTATTTACCAGCTTTGGACATTTACAGACTGACATTTTTGCCCATTAGTCCTATAAGGGCGTTATTTGCTTTACATAGAGACGCTGATTTCTAGTCAGCATTTTCCGTTTTTAACAACTATTGGTGTGTGTGTGGGTGTGTGTGTGTGTGTGTGTGTGTGTGTGTGTGTGTGTGTGTGTGTGTGTGTGTGTGTGTGTGAGATGTGATCTATAACTTGAGGCAGGAAGTTGACCACCCTCTGTACACGTGGCTTTCTGTTTTTTTGTTTTGTTTTTACGGAATCTCAATAACAAAACTCTGTGTAGACTTTAACTAGGCCATTCAAAAACCATCCCTCCGTATCTTTGTAGGCTATATTTAGGTTTTTTTGAATAAACATCACGATAAATAATAGGATTGGGAAATAAATCAATATATTGCTGATGGACACTAGATGAACACCCTATGTAAATGCCAGTCCAGACCTGCACAGCATTCTGGGGGATGCAGGCAAAGGAGAGGCTTTAGCCGCTGCCTCTCACAGTTAAGCAAGGCATCGATTAACACTCTCACTCTTTGATTACCTAGCAACAGCCTGTTGTGTAACTTGTTCGCCTGCGTGGAAATAAATGCAATAGCTCAAGAGGAAATTGTGAATGAAACATGTAATGCCACGTCACCAAGGCTAAATTTCAGAAACAAGGAAGTAGTCGATTATCGATATTGACTGATTTGAAATCCTTAAATCGTGACACGTTTTTACGCCGTATCGCTCAACCCTCAATGGCTCCTAGCGGATGGTGATCCCATTAATTAATGAAGGATGTGTGTGTTTTTGTTTTCCCTCAGCTGTCGGACAGAGTCATCAGCCGGATGAAAAATTCGACAAAGACCAGCTGTTCTCACTTCTCAGCTGATCCACCAACTCAGGTTGCAGCTCCCGTTCCGGCCCCATCTGGCGACCCGTTGTTGCCTCTCCACGCTCCTCCCTCACCTCAGCTCATCCCCACTCCTCCCATTCCTCCCACACAGGAAGCCGTGACCACGTCTCCGTCAGTGGAAGCTGCTGCTCCTCCTGTCAAACCCGTCCCTCCTCTCCGCGAGAAGCTCCCCTCCCTCCCTCCTCCATCTCCAGAGCCAGAAACTCCACCTGCCATTTCTTCAAGGGCCGCAAACCCCGAAGTGCCTCAATCTCTAACTCCACCTTCTGCTCGGGGACCACCTGAACCCAAAGAGCCAGAAACACAGACTACGCCTCAAATAGAACAAGCGAAGGAACCACCGCCTTCTGAACCAGCTGCTTCTGGGCCTCTCGAGTCTGCTGCCACCCCAGATCAGCCAGTACTCTCACCTCTTGCTTCTGCTTCAGCCCAACCTGGAGCTTCACAGGAAGCCTCTCCGTCGTGGCGACGTGAAGCGCCCACTCTGGTCCCGGCTCCGCCACATCTGGAAGCGCCGCCTCCTAAAGAGCTGCCGGCGACAACATTTCTGCCTCCTGTTGTGGAAGACGAAGAGCCTTCCTTACCACCACCACCACCTGCAGAAGGTTGAGATTTCATTTCTTTATAATCAAAAGTCTTGACGTACACGTGCTGCTTGAAGGGGTATGGTTAATTACTATTCCAATATTTGCAGCTTTAAGTTCTTCCTGAGATGCAAACATTTTAGCCTTAGTTTCCTCTTTACCTCCTATGAAAGTTTGTCACCGATGCACATCTATAGAGCAAGAACCAACCAAAGGTGCTGCAGTTTCATTTTAGCGATTGAGGAGACTTCCCTTAGCATCTTGCAGCCCGTTTTCAAAGTGGAGTCACCTGGGCGATCGGACCGGGCATGCCGACAGTCGTTTTGAACGTCCTGCACTTGTAGACTCTCTCTGGAAAGATGGTGATTTCTGATTCTTGTGAAACTTCTTCAAGTCGCTTTCCAGACTCATCAGATGCCGCATCTTCTCTCTGAAGGCGTCAGGCAGCTGTTCTTGTCCCACTTCGACCTCCAACTAAACCCCTGACATTGACGAGTTCACCCTGGCAGGGCAGTGAGGAGGCTGCTTCAGTAATCCAACATAGTATCTGAAAATATGTTTTCAGATTTTTATGGTATTTTTCCCAGTTAAAAAAAAATGCTATTGTGTACAAAATGAGTATGTCTACTGATATTTTATTGCAAAAAAAAAGTAAGGTTTGGAATGTAATGCTTCCACAAAACAAATGTGATTTTGTCGGCACAATTTTTGTTACATTTCAACACCAGTAAGAAAATTTGACTTATTTTTGTTTGTTTATTTGGTTTTGTTTTATTTTTTATTTTCTTGCAAAAATAAATATAACATTTTTTTTTTTCATTTTTGGTATGATCCACGTCCTCTGAAGTGATGGAGGAGGAGCTGAGGGAGAAAATCAGAGCAGAGATACAGAAAAGTCTGGAGGAGGAGATCAGCCAGAAGAGACGGGAGCTGCAGCGACAGTAAGAAAACGAGACTGTCGCACTTCCTGTCACGATTTCATGTTTCTGTTTAATTCAGTGCTTCTCAAATAGTGGGGCGGGCCCCCTTTGGGGGGCGCGGTGCGATACCTGGGGGGGCGTGTGATCCTGGGGAACAGGCTTTTTTTTGGCCGAACTAGTATAAAGTGTAATTGGCACAGTAGGCGGCAGTGGCGCTCTCATTGTTACTTCTGTCACGTTTGCGACAGTGCAACATTTCATGACTTACAAGACAACAGGTTTGCCTTGGTTAGCAGTGTTAATCAACAAAAGCTCCGACTGCGTTCTGTCTATGGCCTCCGTTATTCAACAACCCCCCAACATGAAAAAGTTTTTCACAGGGATGAAAAGAAAAGCGGAGAGAGACAAAGATAATGAGACAACAGAAAGTCAACCGAAAGCTAAGAAGAGGAAATACGACGAAGCGTATTTAGCGCTTGGCTTCACTGTGACTACAGTTGGAGAAGAGGAAAGACCGGTGTGTTTGCTGTGTCTAAAAATGCTCGCGGCGGACAGCATGAAGCCAAATAAATTAGCGCGTCACTTAAATACGTTACATCCCAATCACGCCGATAAGCCGCTAGAGTTTTTTCAGCGAAAAAATGTTATGCAGAGATGGATAGTCACGGTGGGGAATGGGGGGCGCGAATAGTTTTCTTCTTGCTAGGGGGGCGTAACGGAAAATAATTGAGAAGCACTGGTTTAATTGAAGAGTAATAGAGCTTTTATTAAATTGTCATTGTCCGGTTTCATAATACACAAGTAAATCACAGTGAACCAAAGCAGATCAGAGAGTAAATATAGGAGCAACCATGATTTCTCAAAAGATGCAAATCAGCCTAAAAGTGAGTAAATTAAGAACAATGTTATCTTTCTTTTTTTTTAATTGAAGATATAGATTTTAGAAGTAAAGATATTTGATATATAATGGATCAGTTGTGTTTAATCATGCAATACAAAGCCCTCATGTTTTAGTTGAAAACACCAGGAATTGTTCCTTTATTAGTTAAATAACTCTTTTTTTTTTTTTTTTTCTAATGGGCTAAAATGTCTGTGGTTTGTTTGCGAAGGCTGGATGAGATCCAGGTTCTGCGGCGGGCCGAAGCGGAGGCGGCGGCTCGGGCCGAGGCGGAGCAGCGGGTGAAAACGACTCTGGAGGCCGAGAGGGCGATGCACACGGAGAAGCTGACGGAGAGAGAGAAGACGATGGCGGAGCACGAGACGCTCATGGCACAGCTTTATGTGAGCAGAGAACACAGTCTGGATCCTGTTTTTTTTTTTTTTTTTTTTTAATGCAACAGGATCTTTGTCTTTCAACACAAACGTTCATCGACTTACCGTGTCTCTTTCTTGTCCTGGTGTTTCAGTGGATGGAGCTGAAGGTAGGGCAGGCGCAACCTGATATCTGCATGCTTGTTCTGGTCACACCTCAAAACTTACGCGGTCATTTTCTATACTAAAAGAAGACATATCTTTTATTTAATTCGGCTCCTTCCCTACTAATATCTATAACATAAATTAAAAATAATACAAATGCAATACATCAATAAAAAATAAAAAAAAGATTTTATGCTACTTTGTGTTGGTCTGTCTCAAAAAAATCCCAACAACGTATGTTGGACTTTGTGTTCAGGCTGCATGCAAGGTTTTTTTTTTTTTTTTTTTTTTTTTTAAACGTTATGCTGATACTGATGTTGAACTGATGCAGGCTCGTCAGCTGGAGGAGAGAGAGAAAGAGATGAAGAAGCGCAACGAACTCTACAAGGAGCACGTTTCCAAACTTGAAGCAAAGGTGAGCTAAAACTGAAGAAGCTCGTCACGCGTTCAGGATGGTTGACGGAGATACTGCGCTATAATTTTAATTAAAAATACGTGCAAATGTATTTTGTTCAATGGGTGTTTTGAGTCTGGTGCAGTAAAAAAAAAATGCAGTTGGAAAAACTTTCGCTTGTTGCTTTGGTATTTCCCTCCAGAGACGATGAACCATTTAATGCAGGGACAATGTTGGTATTTAGGTTTGAAGTCCGTTCTATTTATTTATTTATTTTTTATGCTTATGAAAGCAAATGCAAGGCAAGAGGTTTTTACTATATCGCTTAAAACTTAATTTTTTCTAATATTCACAAATTGATGAAGCATTAAGTAATAAAATGAAGATGATTTTGTGCAAGTCTCAACACACCCTCTCTTCTTTTAGCTTTAATATTGGCACACACATAATTTTTTTTCATGCAGGTTTGCAAAATGATGCTTTTTTTTCAGTTGTGATTTAGCAGTAAGAAAAGAACGTCTGCATCTGTTTTTGTAGCCGTCATTGGCCACTAAGAGGCAGCAAGACTCAATTTTCCGCTGACCTGCTGGAAGTGACTCCTTTATTTGCTCCATCCTCAGCATTCTTTTGCTGAACATGCGTCTGTTCTCCTCACAGTGCGCGGAGTTTTACAAAGTTTCAGCGGAAAGTTTCCAGAAAGGCGAAGAGGAGACTCACAAGCGTTTTGCGTAAGTTTTACTCTGTATTTTTCTTTTTTTGGAAATTCCATCAAAATAAGTAGCATGCAAAACTGACAGGAACTTGTGTTACTGCTAATATTCCTAAAGAAGAAGAATTTTTTTTTCTTCTTCTTTTACAAGGATCACGCTTATGGGCACTAATGTATCAAACACGTGCAGTTGAAAAAGTAGAGTATATGATCGTTTTCACATTCAGTTTGGGAAGTATTTTGGTCTGGTCTCTTTTTTTATTGTTATTATTATCATTAATGTTAGTCCATAAAAGTACGAAATTATGCCTAGCAATGTAAGATTTCAAGGATTATGCTTATTTTGAGTAACATTTAGGTCTTTTATCGTTTTACTTGCTAAAACATCATTTCAAAAACTTCTAACTTTAACAACAGGAAATATATTTAGAAACATATCACTGAGCTCTGGATTTTGTATTCTACTGTCTGAATCTGTACTGTGTATGAGATTAATTTGTCTTTTTGCACAAAACCTTTAAAAAAAAAAACCTAACGTCTTTGATACAGATCTATTGTGCATAAGTGTCAATGGATCCAGACCCGTTTCCACGTCCCAGATATTATTATTATAATTTTTTATTTTTTTGGTCTTCCAAAGCATGGATAACACACATTAGGAAATGGGTCACTATAGCAACGCGCTGCTACAGCCGAGACTGCTTTGGATCAGCTGGTGGATCAGAAAGTGTGTGTGTGTGTGTGTGTGTGTGTGTGTGTGTGTGTGTGTGTGTGTGTGTGTGTGTGTGTGTGTGTGTGTGTGTGTGTGTGTGTGTGTGTGTGTGTGTGTGTGTGTGTGGTGGTGTGCATGTGTGTCATCATTGCATTTCTGCACAAACTCAGGTCTAATTAGCATCTTTGCAGTTTGATGAACTGATGAGAGTCTAAATTGGCTCTCAGAAACATCCAGCCCTTCTCAAATTCATATTTTGCGCATAGGTTACAGAAATGAACTTTGGCGTTCCTTCTTTGTGCTCTTACCCCTTCAGACGTTTTAACATCCAGCCCCTGTGCGGAGACCTTCAGGGTCAGATCCTGAAATGCTACAAGGAAAACCCAGGAAGAACTCTGACCTGCTCAGGTATTGCATCGGCCTACATGCAGTGTGTGGACAACGCCAAGAAAGTAAGAACTAAAATGTAAACTATGCTGAACCTTAGAGCTCCCTTTAATTTCTCACCACCTTCTAACTTTGTTTCCTCTTCTTCTGCAGGATAAACTAACCACTGGCGGTTAAAGGGGAAACTGGGACATTTGCAGCTGCAACAAGATAAAAATAAACTCAAATCGAGACGCCGAGAAGTGAAAACGTTCAAATTCAGCCGCTTTAAATGTCGAAATATTTTTCCACAAAACTGCCCACGGCGTAGCAACCCAATGTCTTTTGTCACGTGCACAAGCCAGTTTACCTTTAAATGAATTACATTTGATATCGTTGTGTAGAACCAACCTTGCCACGTCAGTAGCAAACAGGATTTATAGGAGCAAACAAGATAAAGATGTGCATCACTGGTTAGTTTAATCATTATGTACGAGTGCCTTGATTTCAGGAAAGCAGATGCAAAGTATAGAAAAAAAAAACTATGCAAGGAGGTGAGTGTTTATGCAGGGCAAAACCAACAACCAAATGCATTGGAGAAGCTTATAAATAATGGGGTTCAATGTCAAAGGGAAATCAGGCTAAATAAAGCACCACCAAACAAAAACAACTGACCCACTGGAAGCTTTATTCTGTTGTTATAAACCAACAACCTGGTTGACTGAAACCTGTGCTGCTGCGATAGGTTTTCTTGCCATTTACATTCTTTACCTCGTTCTTTTTCCAACACATGCATGATGCCCTTTGTAATAGTCAGCTTTAATCAAAAGCAAAGTATTGGCTATAAAACCAGATTCTCCTGATAGGCCTGAGATTAGCTTTAGCAGGAAACCATCGAAGCACCACATGAGTCTAAATTATATCTTCCCCACTGAATGCCTCACATGTCGGGAGACATGCGTCTTTTTTAATTGGCGGGGGGAGGGCATATAAAATAAACTCAAATTGAGACGCCGAGAAGGAATATCTTTGTGATATACAAACAATGGCTTCCAGAGATTCAAAGCGTGTGAAAAATGTTGGAAATTCACAGTCACCGTGACTCGGCACCTCACACTTCCGGACTGAAGCCCAGATGGAGTTGGATCGGTGCCATGTGAAGCTGAACAAAAAAGGATTCTGCAGGTCGGGCAAAGATCAGACTCCAGCTGTTTGACGAAAGGAAACCAGGCACAGTTCATCACTTACACTATACCAAACTGTCCGAAAGGTCATGTGGTGCCAGCGATATGATGTGGGGTTGTTTTTGGTTTTGGGGGTTTCTTATAGCTGCTTCTACCCATATTATTTTAACACATTTATTCCTGCAGGGTCTGACAATTGAGATTCCTGTTACGTTTTGGCTGTGCACTTGCAAATATGTAAAATATAAACAGCAAGATTTTAGTATATTTCTAACAAGGCAAACTAAAATGAAAATGGAAAAAACACAGGATTTTTGTGGCTAGAGAAGAAGAATCCCAGCCCATCCATACGTCTCTGAAGTCGTTTTTTGTCATCAGGCCATTTTTACCATCCGGCTCCAGATGCCATCATGTGTTTTTGACATGTCTCTTTGTCCAAACTTACCAAACTATCCGATTTGTGCCCATTTGATTTGCTTTCTTCATTTGTGTTGTTTTGTGGCAAAAAAAAAATTAAAATAACTGGGAGGAAAAAAAGAAGTGTAACTCAAAAAATAAAATGTCAGTTCCAAGTTCACCACGGCCACGTGTTCAGTGACTCATAAGTGTGTTTCATATGTCCCTTCTTGGTCACATATATGTCCCATCAGGTGGAAAAAGAAGCCTTCTCTATATGACTAAATGTAGATGTATGTGCTATATCTACGATCCTTTGATGCATCAAATGCCTCACCACCGCAGGTTGCTACGGCAAATACTGCTTTATCAACTTCTGACTAAGCTCTCTGACTAATACCTGCGTTACCTTTTTACCTCTTGCTACTCTGCTGGTCTGCAGTTGAAGAAATGCTAACTTACCCGTCGCATCGTCTCGAATGAGTCACACTGACAGGGAAGATCGTTTCACAGCAAACCACAAAATAACCGATCAGAGAGATGACAATCAGCATCAAAGTGAATAAGAGATCATTGTTGTGCAGAATAACTGCTTCCAACTCTTGGCTCGTTATTATGACACATAAATATGTTGCTGAAACACTGTCTCTGATGAAAGTCACACCGAGCGTCAACTGTCTTGAATACCGAAAAACATAACCGACGTCTCTCAAAATGACAATTTCACAATGACCAGACACTGAGCTGAGGAGCTGAAACTCAGACTGCAGGATCAAAATGAAACCGGTGTGATTTCCTCTAAAATGCCTTGCAAGGAAATGAGTGGGATGCATCAAAGGCAGGATCTTATAAAGTCCACCTCAGTCATTGTTGTGAAACGCTGATCGTCATTTTAGCCAAGTGTGGTGAATCTGACTTGGACCAAAATTCAACACTCTTAAGAGTGTTTTCTTATGTCAAACCTTACATTTAGGACGATTTACCTCTTTAACTTCCAGCTATTTGGAGTTTGTTAAAGCTCTTCGTCATTCTCATCAACATTGTTCAGATTGCGCTCCATACTTATTCGCTCAAACCGAACCTCCCCTCAGCACATTACATGTCTCGATGCAGAGGAAGAGTTTCTCTCATCCTCGGGCAATACTCGGATAACAAAAACCAGAAGAGACTAAACCATAAAAGGAAGCTGTGGTCTCCATACCAGAACTGACGTCTGGGTCAGCCACAGAGGAAGCAGCGCTCACCTCATCGCAATCTATCCAGGACTTAATGTTTGCCTGAGCAATAACTTAGCTGAATGAAACGACTCGGGAAGGTTTGGAGAAATATTTTTTCTGTATCTGCTTGTTTTTGTGTTCGTCTTTCTTTCCTGGAATTAACTGCACTTCATTTTATGATCTGTTATCTGAACCTCTGCTGTGTTGAATCCGTGTGACCTTTAAGTTCAGCGATGAAATAAAAACACGTATTGTTTCCAGCGTCCCTCAAAAATGTCTGACCATTTCACCGGACAAGAATGTACCTGTTCACTTGCTTTCTTTATGACATTTCTTGAAAAAAAAAAAGAAGAAGAAGAGTGTTGCATACTACTGCTCTTTGCTGAGCTTTGGTCTTAAAAGAAAGGCAATAAAACATTTATATTAGAAGGACACAAGTCTTTTCAGCTGGAAGGTGAATTTCAAAGAACTGACTCATTAAAAGCAGCAGTGTTTTCATGAGCAAAATGACAAAAACACAACGCAGAGAGTATTTGTGGCTGCATGCATGTTGGTATTTCAGAAATCCAGTTGTAAAGTGTCACTTTACAACTGGATAACAACTGCTGGTGTGATTCACATCTCATATATAAAGGGGGGATGTTATGTAAAAGTGACATTTCTGAGCCTAATCTTATGCCAAAAATATAAACGTAGTTGCTTTGATTTGTTGCTTGAGAAATCGTTGAGACTGGAAGCCCTTCTTGCCATCGACCAAACCTAAAACCCTCACCGCACATTCAAGTTAGGGCACTTCTTCCAAAAGAAAAAAGTTGGTAAGAGTTAAAGATCCCTTTAAACCTCAGCTTGCCAAGGGTGTGAGGATCGGTACGTCTGACTGTAAAATTAGTTTGGCCACCTGAAACATTTAGCAAATGGAAGAAGAAATCTGTGAGGGAAAAATAGTTTTTCTCCTGAACAGGACAAAGAGCCACAATGTAAACTTAGCGATAAATGAGTTGCAAAGTCACTGAGTTTGTCGTTACGCCAGCCAGCCATTTCTGCAACGGTGCCATTGCGACCGTTACTGAGGATGGTACTTCAATGAAATTGTCGCATAAAGTAGCTGTTGTACCGTATCTGTGTTTTCCCTTTATGTTTCATTCAGTGAGGAGTATAATATGTTACACCAACAATAAAGCTGGGCAGATGGAGTTTGGACAGAGCAGGTGCAAGAAAGTCTTTTATAGTCTTTAGTATCATTATACTGACGGAGAGGTCAGTATGCAGTCTGCCTCTTTATGTATTAATGGTAACAGTAATAGTCAACAGACAGCAAGTGACACTTGTTTTAATGTTGGGTTTGGTATCTTGCACTTCACTTTCCATTAAAATAAAACATAAGATTGACTTTTTGTGCTACATTTACATTCATAATTGTTTCCAGTCTTCTTCTTTTAGACAAAAAGAATCACATCCAATTTGAGTTTAGACTTTATGTAAGCAAAATAGTTTTCTAAAGCAACTTCCCCAGCAGGTTCCCAGGCTCCCGACACCTGGAGTACAACACAGAAAATAGCAGTCGCTTGTATGCATCGTGGGTATCGTTCCATTTTTAATAACCCGTGGTATTTATTAGGCTGGACTCACTTCATATCAGACAGATCTCGCATAAAACATTTTTTATCAAAGCGCTTTCAATTAACTTCAAACAGAACAAGGTCAGTGTTTCCATTCCTTTCATGTTAAGCAATGAGGCTTCTCCTAAAGCCGTTATGAATAGCATTTTATGTGAAATATAAAAAAGGACGAAGCTGCAGGAACAGGTCCAACATTCTCAGAGCTGACTGAATAGTTACATGGCTTTTACATTTTACATTTATGCCACGTTTCAAAAATGAAATACATTCGCCGTTTGCCAGACGTATGTGTTTAAAAATGTCACATAAAGGCAAAAATGTCACTTTGTGTCTCCACATGTGACCTAGCTGTCCGTTTTACAAATGTGAAATGATAGCATGGTGTCACTCGATGTTTTTTGAAAAAGCTGTGCGGCTGAGCTAAAATGAGTTAAATAAACAGAAAATAGAATTCCGGACAAAAAAAATTAAAATCGTAAAATCTGTTGGATTCTTGTTTCAGGCCTAAACATTTTGCAGAAACAGCCACAAAATAATCCTTAGAACAGGTTACAGGTTTTTGGTAAAGAATAGCAGCTCTGCATTCCATGACCAATACAAAAAAAAGTTTATACACATTATACATATTATTTCTTGTTTCTACTCTATTATAGTAGTATAAAGTAAATCCACTTTCCTATGTTCATTAGCCGGTGTCCCACAAGACTGTATATTTTGTCTAATTCTCTTTTATATGATTATCAATGACTTACCCTCTTTATGTGGATGCAATGTGTTACGGATATGAGTTGCCTCACAATGTAAGAATTTTTTAAAAAGATGCAAGAATAGTTGCTGACAGACAGGATTCTGCGTGAATTTACTGTTCCAAAATGTGTGCTGCTTAAAGAAATCTGCAGAGAATAGAGGTGATGGAGAGGACAGGGGGGTGTGAACTGGGTCTGAGAGCGGGTCATTCTTAACTCGGCCACTCAAAACTCAGCTTACAGTCACCAACAGAACCACATCATCTGCAAAACGGAAAACTAAAGCCAGACCCCTTCCTCTCCAGGACTCCACCCAGAGATCCACAAAGACGATTGGCGATGGAGGACGTTTTGGATCAGTCGGACCCGACGCTGTGCCAAAAAAAGGCTTACGCATACAAAAGCAAAAAAGAAAACCTGCATCTGCGTCACAGTGCTACACAAGTGTCAAGTTCAACCGAACTCTGCTGACCCTCTTCGCAACTCTGCGAAAGTGAAGATTTGACTCACTCTTTCACAGAATGAAGAAAATCCCTGCTGCACCTCATCAAGTTGAGGTTCAGTAGCTGGTTGGAACCTCTTTTTTTTTTTTTTACATCACTGGAAAGAAAACGTCCTGTTAATAGTCCTGCTTTAATCAACTGCACATGCTGGATGCCTTCAACTTGAGACGCATGAACTAAAACCATCCTCTTGACTCCATTAAATGAAACAATTTACCACTAGCTGGTGGACACGAGGGTGAATCAGCACGCTGCAGACTCTTTCCTTTCTAATACACAGAGAGAAGGAGTCAAGGAGAGGAGCACATGTTGTGTCTGAATGACAAGTGGAGGAATATGCTCTCGGCCTCTCCTTTCCTCACGTCAAACGAGTTAAAAGGAACCGAGCCACATGGAATCCATACATCGATTTTTAGCTTGCGAGGAGAAGCGAAAGAGAAAACAGCAGCGTGGAGCTTATGTCAAATGCATCGAGGTCTGTTCCTTGGAACCAGGCCGAGGAAGAGGAGGGGCTCTGCGAAGCAATCAGGGTGAGAAGTATACATGACTCAGCCTTCTTCCTGTTCAGTGTTGGACAGATGAGAAGAGGAGTCATCGTTTGGTCAGCTGACTCACCGGATTTCTGAGGAAAAAAAACAAAAAAAAAAACACGTGGTTTTGATGGTGTGGAAGTGGGAGGGCCAGGGTGGGCTTGTGCATGCTTCCCTTTGGTCCTCAGCAGCGAGGTGCAATCATTCAGTCCCCCCCCCCCCCCTCGTCACTCTGCAGGAATGCAGGCTGGGATTCCTGCGCTGTGACTCGTGACCTTTCACCTGCCATCCCCGTAGGGATACTATTTCATCCTTCCTTTCTCTCTTGGCCAGGGAAGTTCCCAGATTGTGGTGGTTTGTGGTTTGGCTCTCGGGGAAGAAGTTATACAGCATAGCATTGTTACTTTAGTTTATTTTATTATTTTTTTTTTCAGTTTTATTAAAGCTTTTTTAAATAATAATAAAGTACTTATCAGAGCACGCAAAGCAATTGTGGTCCAAACAAATCACACGTGTGGCGTTAATGAAGCAGCTCAGAGATGCCTCGTCATGATGGGTGAGTGAAA